GTCCCTGCATTAATTCGCAAACAAGATCGCCACGACCTTCACGGAAGCTCCGTAGGCTGGCTCATATATATCCGTTCGTCGGCCGGCAGTTGGGCGTTCAAGAACGCGGTTACCATATCGATTTGCAGAACGTGCCACCCTCGGGATGCCGAGATTGCCATGAGAGCTCGGGACGTGGAGGCGGAAACGACGGGTGCAAAGGTCTTCGAATAGTCGACACCCTTTTGTTGATAATTGCCGCAGACCACCCAGCGGGCCTTATAGCGGACTACTTTGCCCATATTATTGAACTTTTTGTCGAACACCCATTGGCCCCGAAGGACCGCCATATTAGGGGTTCTTTCAATTAATCGCCAGGCCCCAATTTGCTTTAAGCGATTAACCTCTTTAACGCAGGCCTTATAGTAGAACTTCCACTCAGGGGAAGCCTTAGCGCGCGTGAGATTCTTCGGAATCGGCAACCCATATATCTCGGGATCGGAAGGCAGATCATCGGAACCGTCCCCCACTGAAGATTCCCCCACTGAATCGTTATTCCCTGTAATTGTCGGGGTATCCTCAATCTCAATAGGAGGGCTAGGGGAAATCGGTGTATTCTGCACCAAAAAGGTCGGTATTCTCGCTGATATTTCATAGTCTATCCACCAATTATTGGTGGGAACTAGGAATAGCGGACGGAGGGGTTGGACTTCTTCATCGATGAATAGGTCATTAACTGAAGGAATCGGGCCAGGAGTCGGCGAAGGAATCGGCGAAGGAATCGCTGCAGCCGCCTGACGGGCCGCCGTGGGTAGGGTCTTCGGGTGCCCAGTGGCTGGGGCCGACGGATCCATAAGGTGAAGATCCTCCTGGAAAATGACGTCTTTGGATATATATAGACGCCCATTGGAAGGGTCAACCAACCTGTAATTGGTAAAGCCATCGTAACCTACAAAAATTAGCTCTAATGAGCGGGAAGCCATCTTATTCGTGGGCTTAGGGGCTATTTTCAGGAACGCCTTGCAACCCCAACGGCGGATTCCACGGGCCGACGGGAGCGCTCCAAGCCATGCCTCATATGGGGTAATCGGCTTCATATTTTCGGGACCGCCATATAGAATCGTGGAGGTCGGCATAAGATTGAGCAGCTCCGTGGCCGCAATAACCGCCTCACCCCACATCTTTTCGGGAGCGGAAGAGTCTATTAATAGCGATCGGGCTTTTTCAATAATTAACCCGATCGAACGTTCGGATACCCCATCTTGTTGTGGAGTATGGGGGGGAGTGGGTTCCCACTTAATCCCCTCGCTAAGCATATATGCCGTAGCCGCGTTCGAATTCAATTCGCCGCGATCGGAGTGTATAATCGCGATGCCACGGCCCAGCAGGTTCTTGATGAATTGGTTGAAGATTCGTAAATATTTCAACGTCTCATCCTTGCGTTCCAGTAGGAAAATCCATCTCATTCGCGTTGCGTCGTCTGTAATGACCATGGCAAGTTTCTTGCCGGCGTAGGAGGATATGTCATTTTCGGTTCCTAGGGTCTCACCTCCGCCGAAAATATCCACCCAAATCTTAAGAGCTTTGCGAGTGGCACGGCGTGGTGCGGAATTCTTATACGTAGCGCGCCTCTGCTTGGCTTTGACGCACGTGGCGCAGAATGACAACTTCTTCGGGCCGATAATGGCAATTCCGAAGCGAGGGTCCCTGGCCATCTTCAATATATTATTTTCGCCGATATGGCCCAATCTACGGTGCCATTCATCAAACGGCAGTTGCTTCGGGACCACGGCAGGGAGTCGGTTAGGTGGGGATATGACGAAGGAATCCGTATCCGGATCCTTGGGGTTAATCAATCGCTCAACCTCCTCACGGCTGAACGGCCCTAGGGACCCTGCGTTCGGGTCATAATCCGTTGAAATTGTCTTTGGTTTCGGAACAGCCACGTACGCGACCGCCCCATATTCTTGGTCATTCATAACGCCGTCAAACGTCGGAGGACTGTCGGATAGGATGTAAATATTATTGCGGGAAAGGTTGGCATAGAACACGTCATTGCCAGTAGGGGACAGGAACTCAAAATAATTTCCAGCGTCAACGTGCATATCACGGCGAATATAGCCCTGGCGTTCCATAAGCCCAGCGGAGATGAGGTTAGCTGACAGTCCTGGCACGTAGTATACGTGATTGAATTCAATCAACCTCTCGCCGACTGGGATGGACGCCATGCCGACGCCTTGGACCTTCAGAACGGCCTTGTTGGCCACCTGGACCGTAGGACCGTCGATCGTAAAAAGCATTGAAAATCGTGATCTATCGCTCGCGATATGGCAGCCAGCGCCGCTATCCCATATGGTTAGGGGATCCTTGTGGGGTTCCACAAAGCAGGCCGGCACATTTATAACCTTTGCAAGGTTCGCCATCTGAAAGGACTCTGACCCGTCCGTAATCACTAACTGGGTCTTGCCCCCACTATTGTCCTTATCCTTCTTCGCCTTCTCCTTCTTCTCTTTGAACTCCTTTAACTTAGTAGCATTATTGGCCTTCCAATCATCGGGCGCCTGGTCGGGATTCGTAAACCAACAGACAGTGCCGAAGTGGGATCTATTGCACTCGGAGCAGGTCTCGCAGGATTGCCAGCTCCACCACGGCCACTGCCGCCGGAGCC